AAAAAAAAACCACACTGTGAGATTCAATTTATATGAAATGAGCACAAACGCAAGTCTCTAGAGGTAACACATAGATTAGGGCTGAGCGGGGTTGGGAAAAATGCGGAGGTGACTGCTAAAGGGCACAGGATTTCTTTTTAAGATAATAAAAATGTTTTAAATTGATTGTGGTGATAGTTGCACAATTTTGTGAATAAACTAAGCACTAAGGAACATTGCACTTTAAATGGATAAACAGAATGGGATATTAATTGGATCTCAATAAAGCTATTACAAAAAAAATCAAAATAAATATATGCTTTAAAAAAAAACCTCCCATGATACTTTAAAAGATAGGAAAGAATAACAGCCATGAAAATCTTTGTAGCCAAACCATGCTGTACAAAATCAACATGCTGAAAGATTTTGATTCACTTTGATGAATGACAAATTAACGTTCAAAACAGTGCTATTGTTGCAGAGTGTTAACCACCAAAATCTACCTTGAAGAATTAAAATTGGGGAAATATATTACTCCTAGCTTAAATTTCTGTCCAAAAAAAGTCAGTATTCTGTAATTCAAGCTAATAATGTTTTATTAATGCTACCAATCTGTAACTCTGTAGCTAATTTTTAACTTCATTCTATAATTTTCTTACTCATAATCTGGGGCAAGTTTTTGTATATCAGGCTAGATATTACAAAGGAACATGTCTGCCAATTTCAAATTAATCAATTTCATTTATCTTTGTGATGTCTGCTCTTAGTTACAAAAATATATTTTTGTATACTTTAACATAAATTTTTTTACTATTAACTATATAATAAAAAATTTCTAGTAATAAAACAGCAGATAAACTAGAGGTAAGCCTAATGTTGTCTGATATTCTACATAATTCAAATCAAGCATATTCTGATGTAGGGGCACCAAGGTGGCTCAGTTGGTTAAAGATCCGACTTCAGCTCAGGTCGTGATATCAGTTTGTGGGTTCAAGCCCCATGTTGGGCTCTGTGCGGACAGCTCAGAGCCTGGAGCCTGCTTTGGATTCTGTGTCTCCCTTGCTCTCTGCCCCTCCCCCACTCACACTTTGTCTCTCTCTCTCTCTGTCTGTCTCTTTCAAAAATAAACAAACATTAAAAATATTCTGATGTAAAATACATTTTATTAACTTTTGTTCTATAAATTTTACCCCACCCAAAGATAGAGGAATGCACTAGATCTTTTATTTTCTTTTAGAAAACCCAGAAACTATACATTTTAATCCTTGATGGTATGAGAAATCAGGATACATCATAATTGCTCTGATACAATATTAAAGTTGAAATATAATCTTGAAAAGACATCACTTAAAAATACTGCCGTAAGTAAATGGTAGGGTAACTTTTGTCCAAGGCAAAATGCTGAAAATTAACATGTTTATTGAACAAATTCTATATGCAAGGCACAGTGTGGAAAGCATGCTGTAAGAGGGTCTCTAACAATCCCCACTCTTGTGTTCATCCCTTTGTGTAATCCCCACCCTGTAAGTGTAGGATGGACCCAGTCTCTTGCTTCCCATGAAGAGAATACAGCTGATGAGACGTCACATCTGATATTAGGTTATCAAAAGAATGTGGCTTCTGTCTTCATGTTTTCTTGTGTCTTCTTGTTCACTTGCCAATTCCCATGTTATCAGCTGCCCTACAGGGAAGCCCATTTGGCAAGAAACCAAGGGACGCCAGTGCAACAGCCGGAATAGTTGAGGCCCGTGTGACTGAGGATTGTCCCCAGCTGAGCTCTTGTATGACTGACAGCTTGACTGCAGAATCACAAGAGACTTGAGCCCTGGCCAGGAGCCCTTCCCAGACTCCTGGCTGACAGAATGATGAGCTAATAAGTGTGCATTAGTTTAAGCTACTTTACATGTAATTTGTTATGCAGAAAAAGGTAACTAGAGGCCTGATTCTAATTATTTTCAATGAAAAAAAGAACAAAAAACTGTGAAGAAATAATCCAAACAAATATATCATATGTTCTTCTATGAGAAGGAAAAGAATACTATCTCTATAAAATTAATGACCCTGATGATGCTTTTAATACTCACCAGGCTACTTAAATATAACTATTGTGAAAAATACAATCAAACATGAGTGGCAACACACACATATAATCATTCTGCCGCTGTTCTTAAAAGGGACATCTACTCTGATGTTCTCAGAAAAGCAGTCAAACTCTTCAATATGGCCTAAAACGCCCTGTTATGGTGTGGTTCCTGCTCAACTGTCTGGATTTATCTTTAGCTGATCCTTCTCTCATCTTCCACGCATCAACCTCAGTGACATTTCCTGTGCTAATGTCCTAATTTCTACACAACCTTCAGGGTTCAGCTTCACAGCCTCTGAGAGATGTCCCTAACCCCTAGGCTCCCCCTCCTACTCTGACCCACACTAGTCACTTTTGCCTTAGATGTTCCTCTTCTGTGCTTCCTCTATGGTACCCTATAGCTTACTTTCGTTGTATGTATAAAACTGCATATGTAACAGAAAGGAAATAAATTGTGATTTATTTTAGAAAGTTAACTGTATATTTCCAATTTTGAGATAGGAGCAAATTTATCTCTACCCATTCCTCTCTTAAACTTCCTTAAGAAAAGAAAGGCAATAAGAAAATAAAAGGAAACCCTATCATCGGTAAAATCAGAAACACTTAAGGGTAATATATATGAAGAAGGGCCACCAAGAGGAGTGAAAATTCAACCAGAATTAGAGATGTCATGGAGACAAGATACCTCAAGATGCAGATTTCAGACTGAGACTGCCAGATGCAAAATTTGTAAAAATAGGTGGCATACTCTGAGGAGGAAAAACAGTAATGCCCTCCTTGCTCATAAGAAGATTGTAGAGCAAAACTTGACTGTGGCAGATTTCCTAAACCACCCGCGGGAGTGGCTGAGGAAGTAGGACTAAATGAGGAAATGCACAGGAATGCTATCTTGGCTGCAGACCTCTAAGAAAGAGTAGAGTATGAAAGCAGTAAGGGGTCCTACAACTGACCAACACTGCCAAAACAAACAACAAAAACTAAACCAGTTCACATAAATAGAGACACATGCATGCTATCTGCAGGGCTATACTCTGAGCCAAGGAGGCCTCCTAACACCCCAGAGCACTCCTTTGGCCCAAGGAGACCTCCTAACACCCCCAGAGCACTCTTTGGCCCTTCCCCAACACCCCATTCCACAACCCTAGAAATTTCCTCAAAGGGGTGTCTTTTTGCATGTTAGTGTGATGACTAATGAATGCTAATGAGGATGGGGACTAGCTACCAGGGGAACCAATCATGTGATTAGAAGATTGGGACTTTTAGCTCCACCCCTCTGCCTCTGTGGAGGGGCTCTGTGGAGAGGCTCCACCTCTCCTCTGTGGAGGGGAGAAGGGTTAGAAGTTTGAGTTGATCATTAATGGTCAAAGATCTAATCGAGCTTCCTTTTAAGAAAGATTCCATAAAAATTCCTCAATTTATAGAGATTTTCTGGGTTGCTGAACACACGGAGGTACCAGAGGGATGGCCGGTCCGCCCCATCTTTGCACTATGCATCTCTTCCACCGTTTCCGAGTTGTATCCTTTTATAATAAGCCAGTTTTCCTGAGTTCTTGAGCAGTTCTAGCAAATGACTGATCTCAGGAGGAGGTCCTATGGATCTCTGATTTGTAGCCTAGTTGGACAGGAGTTGTGGGTAACCTGGGGACATACCACTGGCAATTGACATCTGCAGTTTGGGTGGGATGGGGAATGAGAGTCTTGTGGGACTGAGCCCTTAGCCTGGGGATCCGATGCTATCACCAGAGAAGTCATTTTACTTTTTGTTTTTAATGTTTATTTATTTTTGAGAGAGAGAGAAAGACACAGAGTGTGAGCAGGGGAGGGTCAGAGAGAGAGGGAGGCACAGAATCCGAAGCAGGCTCCAGGCTCTGAGGTGCCAGCACAAAGTCCAACGTGGGGCTCCGACTCACAAACAGCGAGATCATGACCTGAGCCAAAGTTAGCTGCTTAACCGACTGAGCCACCCAGGCACCCCCCCCCCCCCCCCCCCCCCCCCCCCCCGATAATGGAGTTAAATTGCAGGACACTTAACTGGTGTCTGAGATTGCCTGGCATGGAAAACCCACACATTTGGTGACTAGAAGTATTGAGCATTGAGTAGACAGGAAACAGGGTAGTATTTTTCCTTTTCAAACGCCATGCCATATGGTCACACAGTTCATCTAATATAGCAAAACCCTGATAACAGTACCTGTAAATTATAACACGAGAAAGAAAATTATAACTAATCATACATACAAAAGTGAATATAAGTATCCTATATAAAATACTGATATAATTACTAATAAATAAAAAGAATAGCAATGGCTTAAAGATATTCCTAGCACACAATGATGGTTTAATATGAGTATATCTCCTCTGTTCCTCCCAGTTCAACAGACAGCTCCGTATTCTTGTGCAGTGCCAGTCACACTCCTGACACACAGTGGTGAAGGTCCCAGTAAACAGATTTGGCCATATTTGGTGCCTGGCCATACGGCTGCTTTTAACTCTGGCAAAGTGGATACAGTTGCCATCAGCGACACCTTCATTGACCTCAACCTACATGATCTACCTGTTCCAGTATGAGTCCACCCATAGCAAATTCAGTGGCACAGCCAAGGCTGAGAATGAGAAACTTGTTATCAATGGAAAAAAGCCAATCTCTACCTTCCAGGAACAAGATCCTGCCAACATCAAAAGGGGTGATGCTGGTGCTAAATACATCGTAGTGTCTATTACTACATAGTAGTGTCTTCATTACTATGGAGAAGGTGGGGGCTTGAAGGGTGGAGCCAAGAGGGCCATTTTCTCTGCTGATGTCCCCATGTTTGTGATTGGCATGAACTACGATAAATATGTCAGCAATGCCTCCTGCACCACCAACCGTGTGACCCTCTGGCCAAGGTCATCTGTGGCACTGTGGAGTAATTCATGACCACAGTCTGCACCATCACTGCCACCCAGGAGGCTGTAGGTGGCCCCTCGGCCCCTCTGGGAAGCTGTGGTGTAATGGCCAAGGAGCCCTCCAGAACATTATCCTTGCTTCTATTGGCTCCGCCAAGATTGTGGGTAAGGTCATCCCGGAGCTGAATGGGAAGCCCACTGGCATGGCCTTCTGTGTCCTCACCCCATAAGTGTCAGTCATGTATCTAACCTGTCGCCTGGAGAATGCAAATACAATGACACCAAGAAGGCATCTGAGGGCCCCCTCAAGGGCTTCCTGGGCTACAATGAGGACCAGGTTGTCTCCTGCAACTTTAACTGTCACACTCACTCTTCCACCTTTGATGCAGGGGCTGGCATTGCCCTCAGTGAAAACTCTGTTAAACTCATTTTCAGGTACAATGATGAATTTGGCTATAGCAACCAGATAGTGAACATTATGGTCCATAGGGCCTCCAAGGAACAAGAGTCCTCTGGACCAGCAGCCCCAGTGAGAGCATAAGAGGAAGAGAGAGACCTTCAAGTGCCGGGGAGTCTTTGCCCCAGCTCATCCCCCAGTACGTGACAATCTCTCACCCTCTGTGCTGTTTTCATCCCAGACCCCCTGAGGAAGAGGAAGGGCTTTAAGAGTCCTGCCATATCATGTAAATTACATCAATAAGTTACACTGTAACCGGCCAACAGTTTTATTTATTAAGAAAAATACACTTTATAACATGTCAAAAGGTCAGAAAGGAAAAACTTCATATATAATTATATTAGCAGATAATGCAAAAGCATTTGCTACATCCAGCTTTCTATTCTCACTTAAAAACTCAGAGAGGTAGAAAAGAGAGCAAGTCTGTAATATGGTAAAGAATATCAGACTAAAGCTAATTGTCAGCACTGATACACCAGATTCCTTGGTAACTAAAGATATACACAGTAAAACCAGGAAGAAAATAAGGATTAATGGAAATACTTGTCCAAAAGGAAACATAGGCCTTTTCAAAACCCGCTTTCGCTTATTTGTCTCTTTGAGGACCTTCTCCTACTCAGTGATGGGACTAGGGTGAGGTAAGAGAGGCCTCTCCAGTGTAAAATTTAAGGATGCCCTCTTGGTTGTACAAGTGCAGTGCTGGCATTTGCATGACCCTGCCAGTAAGCACCTCTTCAGTTTTTGTGCCTTAAGAGCCTTCCTTGTCTTATCTTAGTCCTAGCCCTGCTCGAATTCCCTCTCTTGCATATTCTGCCAGCTCTTCCCCCCCCCCCCCCCCCCCCCCCCCCCCCCCCCCCCCCCCCCGACAGGCTCATGCCGTCCATTTGCAGAGAACCAGCCCATCTCTAGGACTTTGGATTTCTTAAGCAAGAAATTAAATAGCAGTCTGCTGTGGTCCACATGTTTCTGAGTTTTCCAACTTCTCCAACTGACCAAATCCTATTGCAACCCTCTCAAATCTTCTTCTTTTCCAAAGAAATCAACTTCACAAAGAGCCAACACTTAATCTCCAAAGACCAGATCCTCTTATATATACAACTTATCCCAATTTAAAAGTTGGAAAAATCAGTTTTCAGATATTTCTTATAATATATATAGCTTTAGGGTCTCAGGCAAAATCTTATTTTAACAATTTATTGTGCCACTGTTCTCTCCAGTTCAAAGAATTTTAAGAGTGCAGTAAGATAACGTATGTGAAAAAAATTAAATACGTAAATGGCAACTGTTATTAGTTACTCTTTCCTTCTTTATCTAAACATATTATAAGCTTATGGTCACCTACATGTTATTAGAATGGAGCATATTATAAGAGGAAAAAACTATATTTGAAGTTATATGAAAACTTAGAGTTTTGGTAAAGTTGATTGAATAATGTTACAATAGCTTTACTTTGCATAAATCTACAAAAAATATCATCCTATGACCTAAATCCAGGTGCTTTCTATGTGTTCAAAGAAGTAAAAGCTGACAGTAAAGCAGTCCATTTTAATTATGTTCCATGGTATTTTCTCCTTTGAGAGGTTAATTTCTTGCTATTGAACATATTCCTCAAAATCCATGTGAGGCTTATCATACTTAAATGTTCATCTATGCAATCATTTTACAGATAAATCCATCTCAAAATGAGATAACTTTACTGAAACTATTTTTCATAGAACCAAGATAGGCCTACTGTACACATAAATAATCTAATTTATAGTCAAGAGTACAATATATTTTAAAATACCAAAACAACAAATTTTTAAGATAAATAGAATCCTATATCTCTCCCTTATTAATAAATTTGTACCTAAAATATCACTGAGTTCTAGTAAGTATTTCTAAGTATGGTAATGATCAATATCTGTTAAGCAACCTTTCTAAAATTTTCACTAGTAGACCACTCACCTAATTGCATCATTGGTCTCTGAAACAGCCTTCAGGTACTCCTTCAAATAAAAATAATTAAAGCAGTATTTCCGAATTCGATAGCCTCGCCATCGCTTCTGAATCTATTGAAGTAAACAAAAATACACCTGTGAACATTTTTAGTGAAAACATTAACCGGTCTTCAAAATCAAGGTAATGATGGATGATACCTCACATCAAATAAAGTCTTAGGCTTTTCCAGTAGCATAACAGTATATATAGTTGCGAATGTAAATTGTATTCATAGATCGAGAATTCATATTCATAAAATATTGAGAAACAGAACACACTTATAGGTTATTATATTTTAAAACATTTATAATTTTTCACCAACACTATATGTAAAATTAACTACGAACAATTAAAAATTTGCTTTATTAATCTCTACCACTTCTATTTCCTGACCAAATGGATTGTTTAATTTTTCATAATCCACTGGCTTGAAGATCATATTTGGTCTCACTGAAATAAATTTTCACATGGTCTTTTAAAATTTCCAAAATCTTTAAACAAATTTTTTTCTTATATGTTCACCATGACATTTTAATACTTTTTAAACAATAACAACAACTAACATTTATGGAGTTTTTATTATATGTGAGGCATTATTCTAAGAGTTTTACTTGTATTTAGCCATTTAATCTTTAGAACACTCCTATGAGAAATACCTTATTTACAGATGAGGAAACTGCTAAAAAGAGAAGCTATATAACTTCCCCATAATAACATAGCCATTGGTGATGGATCCAGGAATTACATTAGGACTTCAGAGCCCATTCTCTAAACCATTACCGTATAGAACTGGGAACAAAGTGAAATGCAATTTTCAATAAATGAATATTTCTGTTGAAAATCCTAGGTTTTTTTCACATGAGAGGAGTATATGGGGGCTCTGAGAGAACACACTTAAGTCGGCTACTCGATGTCTTATTATGCTCTAGTAATCATGAAAATCAGCCTCCTTATATTTATTCTTTGCTAATATAATCTCTATTAAAAAAACTCAAAGCAAAAAAAAATAGTGCATAATCTTATTTTTGTGGAACGCACACACACACACACACACACACACACACACACACACACACACACAAAACACCTCAACTTCATCAAAGGAGAGAGGAAGAAGAAATAGCAAAAAAAAAAAAAAAAAAAAAAAAAAAAAA